TATATATATATATATATATATAATTTAAGTTAGGGATATATCAAATAAAAATATCATTGTTTAAATTTTAGAAAATGAAATACACTTTTCATGCCTGTTAAAGTGACATATATGTAAAAAATAAAATGAAGCTCTTGGATATGTCTATAAAAAGGAATTGAGATGTATGTATTTATGAGTCTGTTTGGAACAGCTGCATTTTATGAGCTTATCAACTGCAGCTTAGCTGCCCTAGGAAGTTGTTGCTGAGAAGCTGGCTGGCTGGTTGTTTCAGTAAATTGAAAACAACAGTGTGGCAACTTATTTTGGACAAATGACCTCTTTGCCTCTGTCTTGTAATACTGTTTATAGTATAATTGTAATCTTCATATATTTGATACTTTATAAGCAGAAATTTACTATATAACAGTACAAAAATTTAGATGCACAAATCACTTATATAAAATTGTACATATATTTCCTAGCAGCAAGCACAAAAATGATGGCAAAGATGATCTGATGCTCTTTCTCTCAATAATTTCTCATTATATGTCTTAAGCGTTATCAGTAGTTATGTATGATATGTTTTCACAGTAATTGTCTGATGCTATATATTTCTCTGCCTCACTTCAGAGTGTGTTTGTGATTGAAATATATGTTTTTATTGTCCTGAGAGTTCCATAATTGGTATTAGTCCTGAATTTCAGTAATAAAACATGAATTTCTACATATGTTTTCTAGGAGTGAACATAAAAATGATGACAAAGATGATCTGTTGCTCTTTCTCCTAATAATTTCCCTATTAATGATAAATCATCATAGTAATTTTTTGATATAATGTACTTCACTGTCTCATTTCAGAGTGTGTGTGCGATTGAAAAATATGATTTTCTAAGCATAACATTTGCAATTCGGTTTGCATGAGCACGCTCAAACAGACCACAACTACATATGTTTCCTAGCAGTAAGCATAAAAATGATGACAAAGATGATATGTTGCTTTTTCTTACATTTTTTTCTCATTATATACCCCAAAGAGTATCAGTAGTTATATATAATATATCGTCACAGTAATTTTCCGATGTCATCTATTTCACTGGTTCAGTTCAAAATGTGTGTGCATGAACGAAAAATATGCTAAACAATGATACCGGAAATATGAACGAAAAATTTGCTATACAGTGCACATCCACGATAAACAAAAAATTTTCAAAGAGAATATAAGGAAAGGAGATACTGGAAAAAAATGGTGCTCGGAACGACGGGTTAGGACAGAGGAAGCAGGAGTTTCGCAGGGAAGGCAAGAGCAGAAAAGGAACGAGGGGTGGAATCCAGGGGCAAGCACGTAACATATCGAAGAAGAAACAAGCGTTTTGCTAAACAACGCGACCGCCCCGAGCAAAATGTCACCCAAAAATAACGCAAATTAGCAGCCCCAGGCCACGCTGCGCGAAAACTACCACCCCAAACAGATTCTAAATCTTCCATAAAAAGAAAAAAAAAACTCGACTGAAAAGAAAAAAAAACAATAATAATAAATATTGATCTCATTGGAATCACACATCATTCTCTTTGTTTTCACATGTAAATAAAATTTTTATTCATTTAAACAGTCTAATTAATCAATTATCCTATTAAATTATCCATTAATTATTCTAATCAAGATCATTCATAACTACATCTTAATAAATTCCAAGTTTAATGCAAACCACTCAAGAGTAAGCAAGTTTGTGCAGAGCAAACCAGCATTGCAATAACTCACTACAATTAAACTAACTCAATAAACTAAATCCAGACACTCAATAACAACTAACTGGGAAATATGTCTGCTTCCATTTTAACAATATTTAAAAAATCTAGGAACTCATTTGACATTTTTAACATACTCTTGTAAATAGCCTCACTGGTTTATCTTCCCTCTTCAAAAAACTATAATTGTTCTGTACAATTCATCTTTACCATCAACAGGCGAATATCTATGTTTCTGCCGTCGCCAATCACTAGCTTCTGCCGGAGCCAAAACCTCGTCGGCTTTGTTCCAGTACCAGGGTTGGAACTGGGGAAGAAGAATGCCATGAGAGTAGTTTGCCGGAAGGCCAACAGAACCCCAGTCTCTTATTCCTGGACCGACTTCTTGGACGCGGCGACGGACAAGCAGACCACCAATGTCTTCTCTTCTGATCTGAGAGATGGTTCTAAGAACAGCCATGTTGATGAGGAGAACAAAAACTGCATCTTCCTCAGGCAGGAATTCTGCTGCTTGGAGTTTCCAGTTGAGAAGGCGGTGGCTTTGCCATCTGGGTTGGCTGGGTTGGACCTAACTATGGTGATGTAGTGCTGATCTTCTTCTGGATTGGTTTCGCTGACTTGGTATTGGAGTTTTCTTCCTGGTTGCACCAGAACCTGCATGAGATTTGCATGTATTTCAGTGAAAAAAATATATGAAAATATATTTTTGTTGTCGAAATCAAAGTTATGTTCTCTGTAATGATGTATTGACATCTTCTGGAATGGTTGGTCTCAAGTGAATCATGCAAAATATATTCTTGGATACAGACAATTTCGAATAGATGAGAAGTTAATTGATATTGTGGCATGAAAATCGGTTATACATTACACCAGAGGGAGATTCATGAGTAACGCAAATTTATAATAATTTGCAATACTTTTTGCTACATAGTATAACTGAAATTTCCATTTCATATTCTCTCACTCCAGGCAACCCATCACGCGTATCATGAAGATCATAAGAAGTAGATATGATGTTTCATATATCTCCTAGAAGAAGATCTTGATCGCGGTTTGGGAAGTAGTTCACATAGTTCGAGGTAAAATCATTTGATTTGAATTATAATTATAATTTAAAATTATTTTTTTATACTAATAAACATTGTGTAATATTTTTTGCATAGATCCTACTGGCTACTTGAGCATCACCAGCAGACTCAACGAATTTTTGATGATAGGAGCAGCCATTGACTGGATGATATGTTTACTATGACCCGTAGGAAGGGGGAGCAGCCTATCTGGACAGCCGACAGCTTGAGCCACTCCCGATAATCAGCTGTAGGGGGAGAAGGCCCAACATAACCATAGTACCAAAAGGGATACAAATGCCACATTCCACAAGTACTAGAGGAAGTTGGTAAGATTCACTCAATACTTGACAAATTATTAATGGAATTATCCGGTACTTACTCTTTTCAAATGTCGTAACTGAAGAAATACGTGATGCACTATTGCTGAAAAAATACGTGATGCACTATTGCTGACAATTCACAATTCCGTTGGTGACTGAATATTGGATTCAGGGGTTTCCTTCCATACATCTTCCTACCGGGAGTTGATGTGAAATTATGTTGCAGGCGATTTTGGGAAGACATATTTGGCTGATGGAAAAGCTCTGAACGTGGTGGGGATGAGAGACGTTGATATTGCACTCTCTAACAAGAGCAGATGGACTTTGCAAAAAAGTCAGACACGTTCCTGAGTTAAAGAAAAACCTCATTTCTATTGGACAGTTCAATGAGGGTGGTCATTCAACAATGTTCTCAGATAACACCTGGAAGGTGACCAAAGTAGCATTATTACTGGCTCGGGATAAAAAAAACTGACACACCATATATGACTACAAGTTTACTCAGGCGTGGACATATGAGTCAAAGGTTCATTTTGGGGAAACAAAAGAAGGTCAATTTCTTGAAAGGTGGCAGAGCGTCAATAGGAGGAAAACTAGATCTTGTATACACAGATGTGTGGAGACCTTCTCCAGTGACATCTCTTGGAGGCTCTAGTTGTTGTATAAAAGTAAGATTTATTGATCTACCAGAGGCCACAGTGCAAGGCAGTGATGGAAGTGAAGAGGAGAGTGGGTCCGGGACACTCATTCCTATTGTTCTACAGAAAGATGATGGAGAATCACAGAGCTATGAAGAAATCTTGAAAGATGAAAAAATCGAGCAAGTGGAAGCTGACAGAACTTCCACCAAAGAAGAAGACATTATAGAACAAGTGGGTGTACCCGGTGAAGACTGCGCTTGATGGTAGTAAGAGGTACAAGACTGGACTTGTTGAAAAGTACTTTTAGCTGAGGAGGGATATTGCCCATGCAGTGGGAGTTGTAAGTAGATACATGAGTAACCTAGAAAATAGCTTGGAGGTACAAGACTATGTTGATGTTGATATGTCGACTAAGGATGTTACTCTTGAGAAACTGAAGTTGTGCTCAACTTCAGTTGGTCTTCCAGGGTGAAAACAAGAGTCATGAGTTGTAGAGGTCGAGGAAAGTGAAGGATATCATGCTTGAAGAAAAAAGTCGGTACAGCCAGCAGATGATGCATCCTGTAGATGGTGAAGTCAGTGTCTTATTCTCAAAGTGGGAGAATTGTTAAATATACAGAGTTTGTGGCTCACCTACCTCTCTCCCACCTACCTCTCTCCACATACCTCTCTCCCGTTTCGTTTAAATAGTCTTTTTTGGTCTGTCATAAGTGTTAAGCCAAGTCCTCTTCAGAGCTAAGAGAGAGAAAGGAAGAGAGAAAGAGAAAAGAAGTTTTCTTGTAATCGTCGAGGAGATCAATGGGTGTAAATTCTCGAATTACTAAAATCCTCTGTAGCACCGTGGACGTAAGTAATTAGCCGAACCACGTAAATCTGTGTTATTTTTTATTTGCAATTTTTCAATCCTGTTTTTTAACTTTATTGCCTTCATTTTTCATAACATGTAGAATAACTATGAGAGCACTCGGGACACACAAAGCCAAAGCTAGAGCTCGAGTAGTAGTCGGTCTTTTTTTGAGCAGTTTGACTACAAGTCAGGGAGGCAAGCTACTGGAAAGAAGAAGAGGAGGATTTATGGCTTGGGCGCTAGGGGTTTTGTATATGAGGTCGAGCACTCCCGATCACCTCGGGGTCAGATGTGTCATTGTTAGATCATGACGAACTTGTCAGGCATGTCATTGCAATGACTGAGGAGCTCGATGAGCTATGCGATATGGATCACAGATCATTCGAGAGGCTTAAGGTTATTGTTGCACCTGGAGCGAGTTGTAGACCGCCGTAGAAAGTGACTGCTTAGTGTTGTGCATGAGGAGAAAGAGAAGGATGAGTGTGATGAGAATGCCCTGTAGAGGTTATATAGTTTCTTTCTTATTTGATATTTGGACATAACATTCTAAATATATATTTTTCATTTACATTTTAGAAAATTTGTGTTAAATAGACTGTTTCTTAGATTTTGTGTGGTGTATAATGATTTTATTTGCTTTCATTGTCAATTTATGTTTGTTAAATCTATTGTGAGCTATAGTTTATGTTGGTGATGATTAAATAGCAAATGTAGGTGTAAAAATTTTGATTGGTTTCTTACATTTTCTTTAAATTCGCTACATGTTTACATCAGATTGGCATCGAAATGGTCGACAGAAATTAGCGTTTACCAAATCCGATGCTAATTCTAACGCTAATTGACTATTGATGAACTTTGCCGCAAACATCTCTATGATGGATTATTGCGACGCAAATCATGCTCCAATTTGCATCAAAACGTTCCAACACAAAATCAAACGTTAAATATTACGTTTGTTAGTTCTCCGTCGCTACATACTAATGTCAGATAAATGCAGCCGCAAAATTCGCCGCAAAATCTTGACATTGGAATTTTCCACTGCTAATATGTTTGCGACCCGTGTTTTTGCGTCGAAGTTAAGGCTGGCGTAAATCCACCGATAATAGAACATTGCTTCAAAATTTTGTCCTATTAACAGTAGAATTGTTCGACGCTAATCAGTATTTTTCCCGAAGTGATAGAGATATATTACATATGTATGTATGTATGCATGCATGAATGTATGTATTTATATGTATGTATGTGCGTGTGCTTGTGTGTGTATGTGTGTGTGTTAAATATTTTATAAGAAGATTTATATACGTACCACTTAATTAAAATATATTTACATATCTAACTCCAAAACTTCTATTTTTACATGTATATATGTCACTTTATACATGCATGAAAATGTGCATTTAACTTTTTAAAACTTCAAATAGTGGTGTTTTTAATGCAAGAAGAAAATTTTGGGTGCAATGCATTTAAATGCCCTTATTTTATCAAGTTAGCTCAATTCAAATTTGAGAAAAACTTATATAGATATTCGAGTCAGGTCTGAATTGACTCAAAATTGGATCATTCTCAGCCTAGTTGAAACTATTGCTAATGGTAAGAAAGTCTTAAGATTATCTCACAAGTACTACAACAATTGCATATGATGAAAGCTTCAAAGCCTAAAATATTTAAGAAGCAAGAGAATGGATGTCCTCCAAGAGAAAGGGAAATTTTAGGTTGAGATATCCTGCCCTGAATTTGATTGGGATAACTTTCTATCCATTAAACTTACTTTAATTTGAGTGGCCTATAAATGTTGATTAATTAACAATGTATTACATTTACTCAAAACAAATCCAAGGGATAGAAAGAAATATCATGATCAAATTTGATTTGAGATATATCCAGACCCAAATTTGATTAAGTTGGTTTTCTATCCGTTTAATTTACTTAAGATGGGCATAATATGTGTTAATTAATTAAATATGTATTACACTGATCTCAAAGTAAATCCAACAAATAGAAAGAGCTATCATTATCAAGTTTTGATAAGGTATCCTACGGCAAACTGGTTAAGAAGGTTTTCTACCCTTTGGATTTGCATTGAGATGAGAGCAATACAAGAGATAACTTATTGATCATCTATTGCACTTATCTCAAAGCAAACACTTCCAAATCAAATTTAGATTATAAGATATCCTGAATTTTTTCCCCTTTAGAAGATTTCGGTAAGTGAATGTTCTATATTAAAGCTATAATATTTAAGGAAATTTCTGTACATACCACACAATTCTTATGTATCTACATATCAAACACCTAAAGTTTAATAATTACATTTATAACCTTTGGTATTATAAACCTATTCATGAAAATGTGTATTTTGCTATTAAAAAGTTAATAATAGTAGTATTTTTTATGTGATGTTAATGATTTGAGTCTAGGGGCGGAACCAACATCTTTTTTAAGGCAGGGCAAACTGCCCCCTAGACCCAACGTGGGAGGGACTAGAGTAACGAGGAACAAAATGATATTTCAGGGGGGGCAAAACCGATATTTCAGGAGGGGCAAAAGACTAAATTACCCTCTCATATAAGTAAAAATCTAATATGTAAACATATACTAATTGATTGGTGTGTATGTAAAGACCCCTATGCTAGAGAAATGAGCCATTCATTGATCTTTAGTGAAGAGCGCCAAGTTAAAAAAACTATTCAAAAGAATACAAATTAAAAAAAATAAAAAATTAAAACATAAGGTAGAAGAGGGAGCTGTTATACTGATTCATCCGAACTCTCATTTTGAAGCTGAAAACTCAATCCATGCTCCCAACATATTGTCAAGACATCTCCAGTAGACAATGACCAAACTATCTTCTTCTCATCTGAATCATCTCTTGCAGGAATTGCAGTACCAACCACCTTTGCTGATCACAACAACTTAATTCAGTCATTTATTTTTCAGGCCAAAAATGAAAAAAGTGTCAATAGTCCCCAAATTTTTTGTTGAGGGTCATTTTAATCCCAAAGTCTACAAAATTGTCAATCAATCCCCAAAATCTTTTAATATGAGGTGAAATAGTCTCAGTTCAAAAAATTTGGGGGCTAGTTTGACACTTTCATAAACTCTAGAACTAAAATGACCGCATATAAACAGTAGGGGACTATTTTAACACTTACCCCATTCATAATTAAACTTATAAACAAGTGACTTCTTACCAGGAGCATAACCTACAGAACTGGCAACATAGGACCACTGGCCTTCGCGTACTTCCACAATTCTATCATCCCATTTAACGGCTACTGGAGTTTCAGCTCCTCTCCTCCAAAACCCCCTACCTACTCTACACATGTACATTAAATCTCTATCAATTAATTCATATTGCAAAATTATAACTACCTTTTAAAGCCATAAGAAAAAATCAACCGTGTACGAATAACAAAGCACTCCCTTCCAGCATGATCGAGCACTGTTCGAGATAACCAGCGACCTTCTTGCGGCCTATAACGGTTCATTCTTAGTATAACATCTGAGATCATAGCACCAGAGTCATCAGTCACACAATCTGGAACAGTTTTCAGCAAGTATGGAGCTTGGACTGGGGGTGTTACTGAACACAAAGCCCTACGTTCAAACTCAAGTTCTCGGATTACTGTCAATGAGTTTGAACGGAGCAGATCATTCCAGTAAAAATATGTCTTTTTAATCAATTTTTTATTTTTCAGTAAACTGTTTCCGTGTTTGCGAACCTCGATCACGATGCCTCTTGTGCCAAACTCGCAATAAAGGTGCCATGTCTTCCTCCATTGTTCGGAAGATGATAACTCACATACGGACTTGTCCAGTTTTAACTCCTTGTGAGATCTAAATGTTCTCATTCTCAGAAATGTCTTGCTTACATTGTGACTCTCCTTTTCTCCCCATTTGCCTTTGAGAAATACTATCACCTGCAGCAAAGAATTTCTGAGTTCAGCTGTCCAAAGAAAGCAACAAAAGTTTATTATCATCAAAAATAACAAAATATTATTAATCTTGAAAATTTCTTTCAATTAATAAGTTGGACTTAAAATTCAACAAATGATGCTGAAAAGAACTGCTATAATGCTCATGCCAGGAGTCTGCACTTTGTTTACAACCAATATACTGCATGTTCAAGCAAGTGACCAAATATTACTTGCTAGACACAAAAGATTGACTAGTGTTAGGTCTAATACAAATCTACTCTCAATTTGGAATGTTAATATATGGATCTAATACCCAAATATAATCCGATAGTAAGGGGAATAGTTTCTAGCACATATTGAAAAGATCATCTTGATTCAAAAGAGAATAAAACTTTCAAGAAAATTAGGCTCGATGCTTATAACACATAGTTAAAGAGTAAGGTGCCAAAATAGTCCTCTGATTATTTACATGGGATTATTTCAGTCCCAGAGTCTATATAAGTGTCAAATTAGTTCCCAGATTCTTCAAATTGGGGCTCTAAGAGTCCTTTATGGGGATTACTTCAGCCCCATTTTAAAGAATTTGGAGACTAATTTGACAATTTTATAGGCTTCAAGACTAAAATAATCCCATGTAAATAGTTAGGGGACTATTTTGGCACTTCACTCTGTTAATATTATGTGAGAGAAATCCGGGATGGAGTTTTTTATGTCTGAGCAAGGAGGGGCAGACTTATGATTTTATGCATGCATGATAAGAGATTGGAGTTTAGATCCTGAAGTTACTTATATAAAAATGTGCATAATTAATGAGAAGAATAAAGGAAATGGGAGTCAAACTAGAGAACCACTACTTTTACCAAACAAATTAAGATTTTTTTCTATAAGTTCCCTCGATCTCTTGCCTTCTTCTCCCTTGACCTTGATTTGCTCCATTACTTTTTCTCTCTCTAAGATAGAGAGCGAAGTTTAAAGAATCTATAAATGGACGAAGAGAGAAACAGAAGAGGAAGAGGAAGCCAACATTTAATTTATGCAAGAGGAAATAAAAATAGTTTTTTTTAAATTCCATTTTTATTTCAATAAAAAAGTCCATAGTAATTAAAAACATGGGGAAAAAAAGAAAATGCATTTGAATTACAATAGCTAATATACTCGTCCACAAATTCAAGAAGAAGAGAGTGATTCTTCCACTTGGATTCAAGTAGCCTCCTTCATGCATACAACTATTTTAGCGAAAAAGAATTCAACTTCATAGTAAAATTTCTTCTCCTCCTTATTGTTAACTTTGTAGCTTATTGTTAGTTTATTGTATGCTCATAAATACAAATTGTCGAGCACATATGAATTCATGCAAGCACAACATTTGCCTCATTTGAGTCCCTATTGAATCAAAAAGTGAATTTCATCAAGAAGGATCCACCCGAAATCAAATCCGATTAAAGTACTCTTAGATCCTCTAATTTGGAATTAGGGGGGTCCTTCAAATGGCCCAAATCATGCAAATAATATTCAGCTAAATTATCTCGAAAAAAAAAAGGCGGAACGCTTACACTGCACTCTATAAAACACTTAAGAGAGTAATCTAATTGCAAGGCTCTAACCATATTTGATGTCATGATAGTCAATGTTATGATGAAGAGTTCACCAAAAACAATTTAAAAAAAATTAAGCAGATTCTCTAGCATCATCTTTCGAGGGAGTATATTTTCCTTAGAAATAAGAATTGCATAAGGGATTATTTAATAATCGAGTAAAATGGGCATGTGAAGAATGTTAGGCTATTATTTGATAAAGAAAATTTTATATAAAGATACTAAGGAGATAAAGCTTAATGCAGTCTTTTTATTAAAATATCATACTCTGCACTTTGCACCAAGTTAAGCAAAAAAAATAGTTTCCCTGAATTTACTTTACTGCCAATCAAAAAGCTTCGGAACATCAAAATATATTGAATTAATTTTACTTTGCATTCTAAAATACATGTATTCTAAATGATTGCAGCAAACAAGCCATAAAACAATTTTGTTTAAGAGAACACGGCCGATTGAGAAAGGTTTAATTGATTTAGAAAAAGTTATTAAACTCCAGGAGAAAAAGGATAGAGAAAAAAATGAAACTCAACATAAAGGGCAAGCAAGTACTTTATGTCTACTCTCCAAAAGCCCAAAGAACAACAAAAAAATCATTAGTCAATGAAAGCAATCTTCTAAAGTGAACCATGTAGGACTGCACTAACATGAAATTAATCTGCATTAAAGCCACTAATTAATATGAATATTTTTTTTTAAAGTAATAGCCATTAAAGTCATCGATCATTGTGAAAAAACCGTCTTAGAAAAACATACAAAACTCATCAGGTTAACTATTTCGCACTGCTAAACAACTTTCTTACAAGGCAATTTTGTTATCAATTAGTCTCACAACTTATACAGGATGTGGCAGTTGTCAGCAAGATTACAAATTTAGCTATAATTAAATTAAATATTTTAGGAATTTCTACAAAAGAAACAAAAACAGGAAACAAAATTTGAATCCATAAAGAGCTTTGTCTGGCCTATCCTAATTTTTAAAGTGAAGCATAAATCTTAAAGTATTCACCAAAGGGGGAACCGTGGGCTGATTTTTTATTCAATTGGACCAAAGAAAGATGAATATATAATTGCTAAATTAATAGATAAAAGAAAGTTGGAAATCCTACCTAGAGAAATAACTAAATGAGAGCTCTAAGGAATAACTTACTTTGGAGTGATTAAGGAACAACATAATGAAACATATTATTGATCTAAGAAAAAGGAGTGGGTTTAGCTGTAATGAAGATGAGAAAATGGTTCAGACTTTACATTTAAATGAGATACCTGTGGAGAGTTCTGGGTGATACAGCAGTGACTTGATGAACAAATTTTTTAATATAATTTTGAAGTCTATGAGGATGTCAAATAATTAGAGAGGAAGTATTCTAATGTAGATATTTAAGAACAAATGCGTCGTTCAAAATTGTGGTCATTATATAGACGAATCAAACTCATGAGTTTTACAATGAAACAATGGGAAAGAGCAATGGAATGTGGGCTTAAAAATATTTATATAAATTTCAAAGAACAAATCTGATTTTATGTAAGGAAGACATACTATGAAAGAAATTTTTGTGATATGACGATTAATAGAATAGCATAGAAAGCAAAGCAAAGGTATTTATATGATTTTTATGAAGCTTGAGAATGCATACACTCGAGTAATACAAGAATTGGCCAAGAGCGCATTAAGGCAAAAAGGTATGTGCCAATGACATGATAACAGCACTAAAAATATGTATTATGGGGCATGTACTAGTATTAGTAGTTGTCTGGCAACAACTAAACAGTTTTAAATTCAGATAGATTTACACATACTTTCAATATTAAGTACATAACTTTTTGCATTGGTTATTGACATACTTTTAACATATATTAAAACTACACTACCTTGCAATATATGGTTTATGGATGACAAAGTTCTTAACTATTGAGGCATCTATCAAACAATGAAAAATTTAAACAATAGAGAGAACATTTAGAAGACAAATAATGTAGAATTAGAAAAATGAATACTAAATATATATAGTTTTGAAATTTTAGTAGGCATGATATTTACAAATATTATTTAGTATTATCAAAATATAAAGTAATGCATAAGTGATATGCTTTATTATCTTTGATCTATTATACAAAATAATGAATAAATAAAAGGATGACTTCTAGAGTTATAATTGGATAATTAAAATGGAGAAGTGTCAAATAAATTGTGTGATAAGAGAATATCTTGGAGAATTCAAAGTATTATCAACAAAATCACAATTAAATATGATGATGTGTGGATCCAAATGTTAAGCAGCTAAAAAATAACTAATATTTAAGTTGAGCGAAACAGAAATAAGAATGCTAAAATATATGTGTGTGGAAAAACTACAAACTATATATTAAGAACAATTATAATATAGATATGGCTCAAGAGTGAATTATTGAAGACAAAAAGTAACCTTATATAATGTATGAAAAACAAGTAATAAATATTAGGTGTTAATTAGCAATTTAAGTGATTAATAAATTTGAATTCTTTCATTCATTTTGAAGATATTTCTTATAATATTATTAATGACTTAGCCTCGAGCCGAGCAAACTTTGCATCAAGATTGGCTCAAAGGTATTCAAATTGGTCTTTAGCCAAATAAAGAAAAATTATTAGTAGGTTTAATCTAATTTTTTAGCAATTCTCAATTCTCAATATCTAAAATAAAAATATAAATAATAAATTATTTAATGATGTTAATAATATGTTAAATTATAAAATAAATGATTAAAACTATCTTTAAATAAAAAAGTCTTTTCAAATAGATTTTTTATAGAAAATAAAAAAATACCAAAAAGATGGTATAGAGATTATATTAAACTGTCGAAATGGAATAAGAAAAATCAAAGAAGATCTCAGTTTGAAATAGAGAAGTCATCCTATGTTAGACTTTGAAGATGACGATGACAACGATGATTCAAACAAGCTTGTATTGGTGAAACCAGTTCAGAGATTGGCTTAAACAAATAGAAAGAAGTTTGGCATGTTAAAACAAAGTGTATTGAAGTCTAATTAGGCTTAAACTAACCCATACTAGACCGACGCAACCTAGAGGTATAGATCATCTTCTTCCACACACAACCATGATGATAATAGCTTTATTAAAGGCCAACTATCCACCCCATTCTGCGTGATAGTGGGCGAGAAGAACGCCAACAGCTTGATTGTCGTCGATACGTCTTTATTTGTTCCTAGAAAATCATAGTCTTCATAAGTAAATATTTGTTGCAAATTTAGGACAACTGTTAATATTCTACTAGATGGTTCTGAAATTTGCATGCCTTTCAGCTTTACAAGGAAGAAATCAACACAATTTAAAAAAGGTTGTCATGTAAATATCCTAATTTGTCTCTAAAATTTACAGAATACCAGGCTAAACATTCAAAATGGTATTACATCCAGAACAACTTCTTACTTGGAAAGTGATAAAAGTTGCCATGAGCTCCTCATTTTTGGCTCAGAACGGCAAGACAAATCCGCAAAATTAAAAGCCATGCGATCCAAAAATATAAATTATAGAATAACAACATGACCACTATTTTGTACCATAGATGACAATTTTGTCCCTTATTTTAGATTAAATGGCAGTCAATATTGCTCGTTTGACTTTCATCCATGTGGCCCAATTTTGAACCAGAAGCTCCTAACGCAATTTTATCCATTCCTATGAAAATGAAAGAGTGGTTTAAGCGATACAGAGAGTGCTAACCTCCATAAGGAACCTTGGTTGAAGGCTTTTGTAATGGCGATTCACATCGTTGTTCAAAGCATCCCAGTTGAAGAACAATCGCCCTGGTGACGCCGGCAGATATAGAGCTGCCCCAGCTCGCTCGTATGGATCGTCGAACGCAGCCTCCCATGCCTTGATCGTCTTCTCCGCCTCCTCCATCGTCACCTGATCATTGAACCCCACCACCCACCTCCCAAAATCTCCCATTCCCTCCATATCAGTCACATAAATTCCCGGGAAACTCTGCTACGGCCGCCAAAATTAGATCAAATTCATGGAACCAACAACCACCTTCCGTGAGGTAAAAAAAAGACAATCTTTTACGGTGAGGAATCACCTGGTGAGTGTGCCACATAAGGCGTATATCTGCTGCTGGCACCATCCGAAAGCTTCCTACTTCCGAATTCTTCACCAGGAAGAGAAAATTTATGTACCTCCTCCGAGCAGGGACGAGGTAGACGTTCTCCGGCAAGAAAGGATCGGAGAAGAAGGAACAAAGCTCGCGGCGCTTAAACACGGACGCAAAGATCCCGCTACAAGAGATCGCATTTGAGGTATCTGCGTCGGATGAATTATCCGCATCGATCTCGAATTCAAAGGGCTCTGATGGATGGCGGATGTTCCAAATCTCACGGCAGCGGTCGGCGGCGTAATCCTCGTTCTCCTCGTCGAGAATCGCCGGCCGATCAATAACCGCCCCGAATCTGGAAACACAGTATTCGCGATAGTGTTCCTGCGGTGAAAGATCGTTGATGTCGAGATCGGTAACAAACGGAAACGGGATTAGTTGACGATGTAACAGTTACCGAATCGAGACAGTGGCAAAGCCAGACCCATTCAACATCCAGCGGCGGGAGGAGCATCGGCACCGAAGACGATTGGTTCGATAGATCCGCCATCATCGGCATCCATATCTCCTCGTACCTGAAGCCAAACGTTCATTCAATTTCCGTAAGAGGGAGAGATAAAGAGAGACATAGAAGTAGATAGATAGACCGGCGGACGGAGTGGAGGATGGCGGCGGGGTGCTGCAGGAGAGTGGAGCACGCGACGGAGCGGAGGAAGAAGAGATGGCGGCGAGCAGCGGCGACTAGGTCGATGGTGATTCGGATCTCTGTGGCCCCTTTTGTGGGAAAACATGAGGCGGCGGCGGCGGCGGTGCTGCTGTCGCAGTAGTGGCGGCTGTTGGCGGCGGATGAATCGGAGGAGGTGGAAGTAAGTCCGATATTTCGGGCCGACATATCGGTTTTGGCGGCAATGGCGGAGCGGGGAACAACTAGGCTGTTTTCTCCGGCACGTAAGTAAGTAAGTGGAGATGGATAGTAAAAGTTTAAATGGAAATTATTTTGTATCAATAAAGTTATAATTTATTTACTTATGCTATATTAATCAACTATGAAATAATTTTTAGGATGGTTTGCATTATTATAATGAAAGAAGAATTTATGAATGAGAATTGTTACCTATAGTGTCATGGTTACACTATTATAGTTATCTCATGTCTCATGTCGATACATACATGTAATTATGATTATGATTGGCATATCATACTTCATTGATAAACATAATTTCCAAAAATGTTTAGCTTATAATAACATATGTTCTATATATGTTTTGTGATGATGTTATACTCATAGATGTGATAAATAATTGTGCATGTTGTTTTACTTATTGTAAAATAATTATAACTTAGAGTTTTGATTTTTTTTTTATTGAGCTCTATGACCACTATTGTATATATCTACATATGTTAAAGTAAGATTAATTGCATCATTTTGGACTACAAATATAGATTGATTTGATTTTTTTTCAAAAAAAAAAAGATACTATGCTATATATATTGATGTAATGAGAGTCGCATGCCATGAGACATTGCTAGTCTTACATATGTTTTAGAATATTATTGTGAAGTTTCTTTTGTGAATATTCGTGGCTCTACGAATGTATTAAATGATGTGAGTCAATAATGCAATATTAACTATGACAATGAAAAATATTTGGCCAAACTTTGTGAATATGATGTTATAATTGATTATATTAATTGAGAGTTTTTCTTTGACATTCCTTGTCACCATATATGTTATGCATATAACATATATAAATTGACTATTTCCATATATAGCATAAGATAACATCATTTTCTTGTCTCTTTGAAAACTTTGTCATTTTCTTTGATGTTATTTCATAATTTCTTCAGTTGATATTGTCTTTTTTAGTCATATATGTAGTTTTTCTATATAATTTTTAATAAAACTTGCAAAAAACAATACATTGAGCCAAAAATAAAAAAAGTTTTTCAACCAAATAAAGACATTTTTTTCCAAAAGTTGTAGTTCTACTAAAGCCCATTAATTACCTGTTACACAATATTATACAATTATTACATTGATAATTGCATAAATCTGTACATGGCAACAAAATTATATTCGTAAATATTACAAAACTACACCAACTGTATTAGCCGCATCATTCAGTCCAACCAAATCATTAGCCTTCTGGGCCTCCTGATCCCAGTCAATCGACCAGATTGCAGCAAAGATAGAAACAGCACAAACTACTTGGGCCGCAAGAAGCCCAAAACAAAGCCCAATAAAACCCATACCATACCCAAAAGCCAGCAAAAGGGCCGCCGGCGCCCCGACAAAATAAAACGAGTAGAGATTGATAGCCGCGCCAACTGCCGGGCGCGCGCACCCGCGCAGCACACCGCATCCCACCGTCTGCGGGCAGTTTCCAAGCTCACATAACCCGATCACCGGCAGGGCGACACGTGTCAGACGAAGAACAGCGCTATCTGATGTGAAAACGCGGGCCCACAACTCCCGGCCGAGCGTGGCCCACGCAAGGCCCGCGCAGGAAGCCGCGAGGGATAAAGCCCGGGCCGCCCCGCCCCGAGTTGGTGACCCACTCGGACGGATACGGCGGCGGATAAGGTGACGGGAAGAGTGTAGAGCAGAGCGGTGGTTTGGATGACTATACCGGAGGCGGCGAGGGAGGATTGAGGTTGGATTAGATAGCCGGCGGCGATGGTCATGACCAGCTCATACCACCACCATTCTAAACAGACGGCGAGGCAGCTATGGATTGAGAGACGGAGAAGCGGAGACCAGGTGTTGGATGGTGAGGGAGGAAGACGAGGAGGAGGTGGTTGCGGCTTCAGCGGAAGGTACGCGAGGCCGTCGACATGGAGGGGGGAGGGAGAAGGGTTAAAGTTTTGATTTTGGGTGAGGGAGAAGTAAGCGGCGAGGAGGAGGAGGGTGGCGAAGTCTGAAACAGAGGAGGAGAGGGCGATGCCGGAGATTCCGAGGTGGGAGGAGGAGAGGAAGGGGGCGAGTGGGAGGTGGAGTGCGAGGGAGGAGAATGTGGAGGCGGCGGCGAAGGGGAGGGGACGGGAGAGGGAACGGAGGTAAGAGCGAAGAGGGAGGAGGATGGAAGAGGTGAGAAGGGAAGGTAGAGAGAACAGGACATAGGAATGAGCAATGGCGGCGACGGCGGGATCGAGGCGGAAAAGGGAGATGAGAATGGAGTGGAGGGAGAACCAGAGGGCGGAGATGGGTATGGAGACGATGAGGAGGAGGAGAATGGTGCGGCGGAGGGCGGAGATGGCGAGGGAAGGGTTGTTGGAGCCGGAAGCCTGGCTGCAAATGGGGTCGAGGGAGAGGGAGAGGCCGGAGAGGATGGAGAGGCCGGTGATGTTGGTGAGGCCCACGGCTAGGGAACCGCCGGCGAGCTCGAGAGGGCCGAGACGGCCCATAAAGGCGACGGAGAACATGCCCTTGAGGTATGAAACGAGGTTGGTGGCGACAATGGGGAGACAGATTTTCGTCAGCTCCTTGAACTCTGCTGATATCTGTGTATTAGTTGATATGTACGTTAACTGCATCTGTTTTTCATCATAGAAATTATAGTATGGAAATAGCTGGATGGGAGATTTGTGTACCTCAGCTGTCCTGATAGTGTACTTGCTATATTGATCTGCAAGTGCCATCTCTCTCTCTCTCTCTCTCTCTCTTCTGTTCTTATTCTCTCTCTCTTCTTATGTTACTGGAAGATATGAGTACGAGAGAGAGAAATAGGTGCAAAAAGAGAGCAGACTTGAAGAGGCATTTATAAGGTTTTGTTGAAGAAATATAGGGTTAACAATGTTAGAGAAGGAATTAGAAGGAATTGGAAGGCATGGAAAAGTGGAAGCTCCAACCTCTACTATTGCCCACACCATCACAAAAATGGAAAATTGGGTTAAAGCAAAATTTATTTTTTATTAAATTGCACCCAAAAAAATGCTTTTTTTAAAAAAATTAAATTTTACATCAAACACCAAGAAAAAAAAGTTTGGCACAAAATTCTAATATTTAATTAAAGTTTAATTGGGGTTTTTTTTATACTTTAAATCACATTGCTTTGAGCAAGCTCAACCTAATGATAAGCTTAACAAAGCTCATCTTTTGCATAGCCATTGCTCACAATATAATTGGGGTTTGAAGTATTTTAGTGTACTAAATATCAAAACAATTTAATTATTATTTAAATGATAAAATAATAATAGAAACGTGTGATAAAAATAATGAGAACAATTTTATGAAATAAATTAGTACATGATATACAATTGTTTGAATATATTGTAAGATATTTTATACATTATATAATAGAAATAAAAGCACACTTAAATCAAAACTCTTAACATGCATTATTAGTTCATGAATTCTAAAAAAAGGTATCACATGTAAAATAAATAATATGATAAAAATTGAAGTATATTTTAAAATATTCTTCATTCATATCACATTTATATTATTTCCTTCAGAATATTTATCACATCCACCAAAATCTCTCCCCAAAATTATTTCATTTACACCATCAAGACCTCCATATTTCTATGTTCTCAGCATATATGGGGTGGTTTGCATGTAAAAATTGAAGTTTAGGTGGCTGATATGTTAATACATCGGCATTGGGTTAAATACTCTTTTTATTTCGTGTGTGTTTATTTGCTGTGTAAAACAATTTTAGAGTTGGACCAAAATTGATCGATAAATTAGTTCAAGACTGGATTAGTCGGCCTAGTGGATTTTGTCCACATATATATAAATTAAATTCTACTTTGGTGTACAACTCGCTGTAACTCTTTGGTTGTCATCTGTGAAGTCAGTTTTAAGTCCCCTCGGGTCACTATTTCGAGCCCGCCTGATTGCATCTGCCTTGCAACGCATAATTAAATGATTAGATACATCAGGTTGTCTGAAGACTCATATCATAGCCTTCAGTCATTCTTTAGAAACAAATTAACAAAAAAGAAAAAAAAAATCTACCTTAATGTGTCTGCAATGAACACATTCTAAATTTGATGCAACTTGTTATTCAGCAGGTGATTCTGGGTTGTTGTGAATTAATAATTGAGTTTCAATTTGAAATTAAAATTAATAAATTCTTCTTAATCTCATGGTCCTCCGTCTTGAGTGTGTATCATCTCATATTATAGGTTGTGGAACCGAACGATCTACAAACACACCCGTTTAACATAAGGCATATATAATAGCTATTCGAGTCAAATTAGGAATCTCAAGTCAATTCCAAGTTGGCGTGTAGAATTCAGTTTAGAAGGTGAATTTTTCTACAAATGACCAAGGTTTTTCTTATATGGCAACTAAATAAATATGCATCTTGATAGTCTCTTAAAAGAGGATCAGTAGCATGTGGTACAGCTTTTCATATAATTGGAGTATTATATAATTATTAATTAGTTCATGTCTACCAAAGTGGAGATCTAAAAACCAAAAAAAGGAAGAGGAGCTGTATTCCTTCATGCTTGAGAACTCCTCCTAACTATGTTTCATAGCTCATATTTAGATTGACAGGAATATAATTCATGCAGCACTGGCAAGTGTATAAAGTTGGATTGTGGCATGTGAACACCCTAATTAAATTGCCTAATTTTGCCTTGAAAAGCAATATGGTAGCTTCAGACTTGGGGTACCTTATTTTGTTTCCCCTTCAAATGGACACCTTTTTCCCTCCTTAATTTCCAATTTTCATGTGGGACCTATCATCTTTATCATTGTGAGTTTTGCCTGGCTTAAAATATGATTGACTGGAGCCTAATACTGTATCATGCCATCTTGTGCACTTTGGAGCAATTAAAGTGTCTTTAATGTATGATAATGAAATATTATCATTGGTGTATTTTTTATTTTTTTTTCCGTCGAGACTGAAGATGATGTTGAAAGACACTAATGTTATGAGCCAAATAGGGAGAAGTACATTGATGAAGCTCTGAAGAATATACTAGTGATGAAGCTCTGAAGAAGATAGCAGTGTGTCACGAACAAATAGTCTCACATCGGCTAGGTGTAGGGCCAAAAAGCAGTATTTAAGTCCTGGGCTGCCCACCACCCACAAGAGCTCTTTTGGGAGGTGACAAGTGGTATCAGAGCAGATTACTATCTGTCAGGTGTGTGGATTCTCCATGGTCCAGTGAGGCCCTCGGTGGAGCCGATCCGCGACGAGAGCGTCACGTGATTGGGTGGAGGAGAATGTCACAGACAAATAGTCTCACATCGGCTAGGTGTAGGGTCGAAAAACAGTATTTAAGTCCTGGGCTGCCCACCTCTCTTAAGGGCTCTTTTGGGAGGTGATAAGTGGTATCAGAGCAGATTACTGTCTGCCAGGTGTGTGGACTCTCTATGGTCTAGTGGAACCCTCGGTGGAGTCGATCCGTGACGAGGGCGTCACGTGATTGGGTGGAGGGATTGGGTGGAGGAGAATGAATATCACGAACAAATAGTCTCACATCGGCTAGGTGTAAGGCCAAAAAGCAGTATTTAAGTCCTGGGCTGCCCACCATCCACAAGAGCTCTTTTGGGAGGTGACAAGTGGCTCCCCTATTATTAAATTTGAATTTAAGGTTATAATAATTGAGAAGAAAAGTAAGAAATATGATCAATATAAAAAAATGCTCATAGGAGCATGGCTGCTCTATTGGAAAGGACATGTGCAAGGAGGCCCTACTTGGGACCCATTAATAATTTTTGTGAAGACCCACTATTTTTATTTTTTATTTACTTTTCAAGCTAAATTTATTCTAAAATGTATGTTGGAATGATTCAAACACATATTTGAGTTTTTTTTTTATTTTTTATTTTGATAAAGATGAATAAGATTCATAGAGGTTAGATAATAGTGAGATTATTTATATAAGTTTTATTGGCATATAAAACATCACATTTATGCTTTTTAAGTAGGGTTAGTCGGTTTTCTCTTTTTATAGAAATTTATAACTATTAGTCCCGTGAAGAGGCCACTATTATTCACTATTTTTCTTATTTATATAGTATCATGTCATTTCAGTTGGAATTATTTTGTGACACTGAAAATTATTTGAATTTTTTAATGAGACATTTACATGCATACCACCCAATTCTTATGCATTTACATATTTCAATTTTAGAGGTTAGATATGCAAGGAACTTGAGAGATGTTTAGATGTTTAGATATGTAAATACAGAAAGAATTGTGTGGTATGTATGTACATGCCTAACAGGATTGTTTATAATTTCGAATTTCTTTGTTAATATTCATAGCAATACAAATCTTTTGAACCATAGTTTGCTTTCCTTTTTCAATCATGTGGTTGGATGGTAATGATGGTAGCTCGGACCTGATTCAATCTAGTAAGTAGAATGTTAGGAGGGCATTTTGGTTCCTTGTTGTTGGCCTCTAATTTTATTTTATTTTATTTTATTTTTGTTGTGAGACATGGTCCTACAAAACTGTTTAATTAGGGACCATGCATGTGCTTTCACTACTGTTCTCTTGATTAAAGCGTTTATAATCCTCCTAATCCCACAAATTATTGAAGGCTTTTCATTTTTAATCAACATTTTAATCATGTTTGGATTGAATGGAGTATCAATCATGTTTAAACTTTAGTCGACACTTACCCTTATCCTCCTCCATAGAATAAGGGAGAGAACATTTTACCAACAATTTCCATAATATAATATATATAGCAACAAAAATTACATGAGAAAATTTGACAGGTCAAAAGATGCATGGTCAAAGAGGACCTGCCAATGATTAAAGTATATAACACATAGCTAGGAATGTCCATCGGCTTAGTTTGCTCGGAGCAGAGTTCAAAGATGATCGACGAACTATATAAGCTGATCAACAAATGAGAATCGACCAATCAATGATTCTAACTAAATACAGGTAACTTCAGTGAGTCAGCCACTCGAACCAGACAGAGCACGTTGAGTGACCTCTTGCCGATCCAAAGATTACCAGCCGCATGTGGCCAATCCGCAGGAAGAACCGAGGACAAAACATATATTTATTACTCTATATTGTTTCTAATAAGATAGAGGCAAGTAGATAATTGTACTTTGGTATTCCCCCTTGCCTGTAAATAAGGAAGTCATTTCTACAGCAAAGGGCTGGCTAGTGTTGGATGCGGAGAAGAACTCAGTCAAAAACTTTTTTATTAGAATTTAATAGTTTTAAAGACTACATTAATTAAGTTCATCATACTTTATCTTAATAGTTAATTTCATGGTTTAAATGATTTCGTTGCATGTATTTGCTTATGGGAAACCTTTAATTATGCTTTAATCCACCAGTAATTGACTAATGCTCAAGTTTTCTAATAGTTTATTTCAGTGTAAAAAAAATGTGTATTATGTTCACATATATAACCTCCCTGCACCTTTTTTTTTTTTTACAACGCGGCACACTTGGGTCCAAATTGAATGGGTCTCAGAGCTGTGGTACATAGATTTTGATTTTATCTCATGCTGTGAAACAAAAGAAGGGACAACCCTTCTCCCAATCTTGTCTGTCAGGCCATTGCCCTCTCAACAGCCATAAGTTCTTTCGCTGCTTCACCCACACAAAGTACAGCCTGACTACCCATCCCCATTTATTACTTGTACAAGAAAAGAAACGAGCATAGAAAAGACTGACCTGAAAGGCCTGCGTGCGCCAGAGTTCTTCAGCAGGTTTCTGGAACAGAGCACGTGGTGAAATGGTTCCATGTCTTCCTCATTCTCCACATGCCTTTCTCCATCATCTTGAACTCGTGTTAGTTACAGGTCCATTTTCATGGAAAGCT